CGGGCATCTTACTACTAGCAGAGACAAGTTTCCTCTGTTTGCAATCAGTTATTTAAGTAACAAAATTAAATATTTCCATTTATTTCTCATTCCCACATTCTTACAATCTTACAAGTCCTCCTTGTGATTTTCAGGTAGCTCTGAAATTTGCTGGGAGCTACAAGAAGCCTCTCTCTTTTCAATAGGCAGGTCTCCACGGTCACATAAGCCAAAACCAGAAGTGAGGCATGACATGAAGCAGGGCTCAAGGTGCTTCATTCTCCAGGCCTACTAACTTGGGGTGACCATTTGCTTGGCTGCACCTAGCAGCAGGGCTGGGCAAGAAAGCATAAGCCTGAGGTGGGAATCAGGAGGGAGCAGTTGTAGGGGGGTGGACAAGGAAAGACAGGGGGACCAGAGGTCGTAGGGAGGAAGGTGGTGACAGTGAGACCTACTCCAAAAACATTGGTCTTTGATCCTTCAGATCCCTCAGTAAAATATGGAACAGGAAACCTACTGTCAACCTCAAAGAAAGCTTCAGTCTTCTCCAGGCTGCTGTAAAGAGAACTGCTCCCACAGCATTTGGAAGTCCTGTCTCCACCTGCCTTCCCTGTACTGAGCACCATGTTTAATGAATCACGTACCAACTTCCCTCATTGATTTATTTGCCAAAAAAAAGATTTGCATGGGGTGGCAATTAAAGAGGTAGAATGTGATATTCATCAGTTTGTGTGCCTCTGAACCTGACCACATCCTGGTGCAGCAACTCCTCACAGGTGTTCAGATATTGTGGTAATGGGTGTTCGTACAAAAAAATACAACAATTACAGCAACACCCAGTGAAGGAGAACTTGTCTTTCTGCACCACAAAGATGGGCTCCACAATTGTGCCCAGGGGACTGATAGGAAAAGGAGTCGTGTACTAATTTCCCCAAAATATGCTTTCGTGAATAAGCTCATTAACTATATTACTAGGCATTGTTTCCAATTTGCTGTGGGACAGAGGCCACCAATGCCATGGACATTAAGCTGTACATCTGAGGGTCCCAAGCCCAGATGCCTTAAAAACAGGCAAGCATCAGGAGTTGGGCAGACGTCCCACACCATTCCAGCAATCTATGCATGGCTAGTGAAGACCACATATATGGCTGACTCAGTTGCCTATTCCCTTTTTCTCTGTAACTTTGCTTTCCACCCAAATAACTATATTGGCACACACAAGGTGAGAAGAGGACGTGGAAGCCATCAACACCACCCTCCCTAAAACTGGAGGAAGCCTTACAGCAAAGCTTTTCTTCTACTAGTGCCCACAAAGCATCTGTCCCAGGACTCTTCCTCTCCATGCCCAGACACTTCCCCAACCTCACAGGGAGCTGAACGCCTGTCACAGAAGAGATGATACCTGCAATGTGCCATAAAGAGGGAGCAGGAGAGACAAATAATGCTGCCCACACAGAGCCTAGGCCTCTGCATTAACAAGGGACTTGCCAAATGAAAATGGAGCTTCTGCCTGAGCCTTGCACCAGACTGACTTTCTTCTGGCCCTCCATCAGGATGGCTCACAAACTCACCCAGGCATATCTACCTCCAGAGCTCCATTATGATCTCCAGGAGAGGCATGCCTGTCCTCACCTCCACTAGGTAATCCATCCTTCCTAACAATTTCCCACAGTATTTTGTATTTGATGACAATTTGTGATGTTCCTTACAAGCAGCCCCATTCACTCACTATGAGAGTCTGCAAAACTTTTGCCCAGTTCTTTTATCTTGGTGCACTACCTAACACTACAGAAACAACTACCATGATCACCATGCTCTCCACTAGACTTGCAAGCAACAAGTGACTTAATGCAATCTCCTACCAAGACCAGGCTTTTGTGGATCTGAAGTACAAACTTCCCCTGGGACTCTGCTGGACTTGACAAAGTGCACAGTTATTACACCATCAAAAGCAAGAGATGGGAGAAGAAAGAAGAGGTTCCTCAGAGAAAGGAGGAAAGGATATGGGCTGGGCAGTTGCATTCCTCACAGTTTTTAGATCAACCTTCAGAGATTTCAGTCAAATGCAGGATTGTAATGAAAATATTACAGTCAATAATATTTTACAGATATAAATTGTACACACCAGGTATGCAGTATGCATACTATATAAAAATATTTTACATTATTTTGTACTAAAACCCATACCCTCCTAGAAGCAAGTAAAAAAGTATATACTCATATTCTTTGTTTAGCTCACTTCCTTATGTAAGCTTCATATTTTCTTCTAACACAGTGGTAGGAGAGTTGTGAAATACAAATAGTTTGTCTTTTTGCTCTTCATCATTATGTACAATATTGACTGCTCCCACTCATTAAGATTAGCTATATTTTGTAAACAGTAAATTCACTTTAACAGTGCAGATTTTTTTCAAGGCTTTCTCAATTCTGCTGACGTAAAACTTTGCATTGATCTATTAAAATTGCTCTTTCGTCTAAGTACCTTTTAAAAGGCCATATTCCTTTTCATGGCAATGACCATGGTCTTTAACCTGTACTTTTCACCACTGTTACAAAACTACCTCTTTTCCCCAGACCTACTACATCACATTTTTGACCAAGTTAGTTTCATTTGAGAATATTTGACTTGTGAGGACCCAAACATTCTGGAAAAGATTCCCTAAACCTTGGCTCTTTTCTCTTTTTCCAGGCTTGATGCTTTAACCATTCTGGAACATTTTGTCCAGAGAGATAAGAGCTCTGTAATTTGTAAATCTTCCTAATGGGTTGATTGCACACTTGTTTTTCTAGTATTTAGATGAACATTTTAGCAATGTCAGATATTGTTTAAAAGTCTAGTCCTGTACAGTATAAGCATTATCTAAAAGTATTTTCGCCAAAACCCCATATGAAATGTCCATGTCTTTCAGGCCCTCAACATACACTTGATTTCTCTAAGTATTGATTTTGGTTATGTCTCAGTACAGGATCACATTGCTTCTATTCAGCCACAGTCATCATCATCATCATCATCACCTAAGTGTTTGGCTTCTCAGGCAAGAATTTAATAAGTTTTATTTTGGCATTAGAATGGTTAACAGCTGACATGATATTTTTAAGTTAGCTATGTCAATTATTATGTCAATATTTCAACTTTTTCACTGGCTTGGGAGTTTAGTGTTGCTTTTCCACTCTAATGTTCTAATTCCTCTTGAGCAACACACCCCCGCTCCCCTCACCCCCCCAATTTGTTCAGCTGTTTAATAAACCATTTCCACTTGGATTGTGCATGTAATCTATGCCAGAAGCATTAGCTGTAGATTTTATAGCTGTTACTTAGCTGGTATAAATATCATCACTCAGTCTTAATTGACAAATTTTTGCAATATATCTTTAGTATCAATGATTACACTATTTAAAATATGAACCAGTCAGTGTTGGTACAGCATTTTCTCATTTGAAGAGAGATTTAATAGATTTTCTTGGACTACAGATGCTTTGGAGAAATCAGTCTTTGAAACCTAGACTGTCCAACTGGACTGCTTCTTAATTACAAGAAAGAACAGGATGTTTCTCTCTACTAAGACTACTAAGAATGTAGTTGCTCCCTTCAGCATTGCTTTGATAAACAGATGGCCTGTAACCATTTCTTCAGTGTGGAGCATACACTGGTTGGAAACGAAGCTGGTTCAGTGCAAGCACTGCCTTCTTGTTCATGTCCACGGCAGAAACGAGTTAGAGACAACAGGTTGGCCCTGACTCCTGTCTTGGGCTAGGAACTGGCACCTTTAGAGCAGGAGGTGACAGGAAAATGATTCTTTGTATGGGAGATGATGCTTCTTCATTACATTACCACAGCGGAAAGATAGAAGATGATGCTGATCCTGTCATATCTTTTCCTAAGAGTTTTCCTTCCTTCTTTCATTCTGATTCAGTTTTGGGCCACTTACTACAAAACAGACATTGAGATGCTGGAACATGTCCAAAGAAGGACAACAAAGCTGGTGAAGGGTCTGGAGGACAAGTCTTATGAGGAGCAACTGAGGGAAGTGGGGTTCTTTAGTCTGGAGAAAAGGAGGCTGAGGGGAGACCTTACCACTCTCTACAACTACCTGGTGGGTGTTGATCTCTTTTCCCAAGTAACAAGGATGAGAGGAATCAGCCTCAAGTTGTGTCAGGGGAGGTTTAGAGTGGATATTAGGAAAAACTTCTTCACCTCAAGCATTGGAACAGGCTTCCCAGGGAAGTGGTTGAGTCACCATCCCAGGAGGTATTTAAAAGATGTGTAGATGTGGTGCTCTGGAACACAATATAGTGGTGGACTTGGAAGTGTCAGGTTAACAGTTGGACTCCATGAGCTTAAGGGTCTTTTCCAACTTAAATGTTTCTATGAATTTTAAGAAAAGGTTTTCTTCCTGCTGTTTTCTTAAATAATTTAATACCACTTGAAAAAGGTGAGGATTGAAAAAATACCCCTCATCCTTTTGTCCAACACTTTCCCTGTGCTTTGGACTACCTTCTCCTATATCTAGTGGAGGCTTCTTCCTACACATCAATGCACAAATTAGGTACTTAAAATATCTTGGATCATGTTTCTTTACAGACAACATCTCAGTGACATGACAACAAAGAGTATAACAACATTTCTGCAGGTGTCAGAGGTGCCCAGCTGAAAAAACCCTGGAATGAGGCACTAGGATGCCCAACACTACAGCTGTCCCCACTCCTGGATGCAGCTGGACACAGAACAGTCCTCTCATTACCTACAGCCATTTGACACAACTTTACTGGCTTCTGGGCTCCGGGGTCCCACCCCCAGTGGCTCTGGGAGCGAAAAGTAAAAAGTGCTCTTCAGCACTTTCTCCTCTGTCGGCTCCCTTCAGCCAGGGCACCCCTGCAAACATCACCGCGGTGTCACACTGTGATGTCACCGCTGTGGGGCACGAGCATCAGAATTTCCCAGCAGCACCCCCAGTCAGCTGGCGCCAGTTGGGCTTTTGCTTGCTGACTGGCAGGACAAGGCCTGGCTGCTCAGGGCGATGATGGCCAGAGAGAGGAGCTTCAGTCCAGCAGGGACAGAAGAAATGAAAGAGGACTTCTTATTCCCCAGCTTTCCACATAAGCTTTGGAAAATAACGGAAAGTGACCAGTTTCGGTCCATTTGGTGGAGTGATGGTGGAAAATGTGTAGCCATCAATGAAGACCTCTTCAAAGAGGAGGTGCTGGGCAGGAGAAGACCTTTTCAGGTTTTTACCACACAGAAGATGAAGAGTTTCCTTCGACAGCTGAACCTCTATGGATTCACCAAAGTACAATGGATTTGCCAAAGATCCACCTCCCTGCCTGAACTGTCAGAAGCAGCAGCAGCTTCTGCTCACAGCCAGGTACAGCAGTTGCTCCACACACCAACTAATGCTCACAGCAGTCTTGGGGAAAGAGACAGACAGTGATACACATTAAATAAGGCCTTGCAATAGAGGAGGTGGGGATGGTAGTGGGCGGTCTGGTTTTAATTTCCTCCTCAGGTCACCTTCAGGAAAGTTGAGTTAGTCTTTCTGACTAGTACAAACATAGCTAAAACAGAATTCAGTTATATCCACTGAATTTCAACCCATTAATTGGAAAGACAAACTCAGTGTAATCCAATTTCTCTGAACGTCTTTGCTATATGCCCTGCTGCACCAAATCTGAAACCTTCCTGTGGCATCTGCTGAATGCTGAGAAGGTACATCTAAGGACAATAGTATTGCCTGCTTGCTCATATCCGCACTGAAGTTGCTGAAAAGTCATGGTATTTGGCTTTCAAAAGCAGTTCTTATGCTTTTGAATGTCCTACACTGCTCTGCTCCCAGACGGCAAAAACCCAGGGGTGGCGATGACTGAACAGAACTGTCATGTAACGTTTTAGCCTGAGCTTCAGGTTTCAAATCACCCTCAGAGTCATTTTCAATATCCATGTTCATCTTTTTCAACTCAAAGTCTTAGGCTTGGGGATTTCCAGTCTTGAAATGGTGTCGACTACCTCTTCGCCTTTACTTTTTTTAGATACTCTACTACTATAACCCCAACTTTAACAGAGACCATCCCCACCTGCTGGCAAAGTGCAAGAGGAGAACTGGTCTCAAACAGAGACCCCTGGATGCACCGGCGGTGGGTGAAAGGCACCGCTCCATGAGCCCACACCGTCAGCCTGCAGGGAACACGCCGGCGTCTCCACCCGTGATGACCACACCGACCAAGCAACGGGACGAAGCACCTCCCGGCCTCGGCAGCGCCCACCCATCCCCACGGGCAGATGCTCCCACGCTTCCAGAGCCTGCCGGAGCAGCAGGCAGCGGGAGGGTCACCCCCCTGTGCCTCTTCATTCTGCTCTCACCCAGCAGCCAAACCCCGACTGGCCTCCAGTGTGCTGCTCATGCTCCTCCACTGTTTGCAGTGCCTGAGCTGGCAGCAGTCCCGGCTCTGCCGAGGCCAAGCCCACCCCACGGCCAAAGCCCAGCAGTTCCCCACTGCCCCACCTGCAACCGAGTGCAGCACATCCTAGGGAGAGCAGAGGGTTGGTAAACAGTTGATAGTGGTTAATAGATTTGCTAACAAATAAGAGCTTAATAGACTTAGTGAGAAACAGATCTTAGAAGAATTGATAATAAATAAACTGTTTGAACAATAAACCTTTTCCAGTTGTCCTGTCCAGTTTGTACAGTGGAAGCCCAGACTGAGCTTGCAGACTCACCAGACTTTCACCCATCAAAGTAGAAGCAACAGGTCCACAAGCACTTTAATAATTTATCCTAACAATCAAGCTTAGATTTTTAGATTTTTTTAGCTTTTGCACTTCTATCATAGCCATAACTTTAAGAGGGATCATCTCCAGCTGCTGGAAAGGTGCAAGCCAAGAATGGCATGCAAAAGGAGAGCCCTGGCTGTATTGCGCCTTGATGAAGAGCTGGATGAGAAGTGCCCCAGAAGCCACCAAGATCTTCAGCCTGTGCAGGGAACCACTGCTGGGGTGGAGGAGGAGGTGTTCGCACCAGCTCCACCACGGGACATGCTGGCATCTCCCTCTTGGAGGTCTCCAACAACAAAGCACCAAGTTAAAGCACCTCCTGGCCTCAGCAGCTCCCAAACCCCTTCCCAAGCAGGGCCCCCCCCATCTCCCGACCCCGCTGGAGCCACGGGCAGGGAGAGCTTCTGGGCTGCCCCATCCCTGGCACCCCCAGCCAGGCCCCGGCTGGCCTCCAGCGCGGGCTGCACCTCCCGCACCGCAGCTCCCACCTCTGGCACCAGAGCTGGGCTTTCCCACCTCCCCCCCACCCCGTGCAGCCCGGCGCAGCGGCTGGGCTGCTCCCCTGGGCCGCCCCAACTCCCGGCTGGCGATGCCCGAGCTGGCAGCAGCCCCTGCCATGGCCGTGCCAACACCACCCCACCGCCCAAGGCCAACAGCCCCGCACCGTCCCCCCCGCACCACCAGCGCTGCGGGTGATGGGGCTGGACCCAGCGTGGCACGTGGTAGAGAGAGTAGCTAGAGAGTGAGTGGAGCCCAACAGCACTGGAAATAAATAGTGTCTAATAGCATTGGTAATATATAAACTCTAATAGATTTTATAATAAATAGAGCCTAATAGAGTTAGTAATAAATGGAGCCTGACAGAGCTGAAAATAAACTGTTTGAACAAAAAACCTTTTCCATTTGTCCTGTCCTGTTTGTACAGTGGAAGCCCAGATAGAGTTTTTTATTTCACCAGTCAAAGTAGAAGCAATTGGTGCACAAGCAATTTAATGACTTTCTGTAACAGTTAAGCACTAGATTCTTAGCATTACTGAGTACAAGATGGATAATGTTTGTTATGTACACACTGAGGATATTCTTCCTAATAACTTTTGAGTGAAAGGGATATGCCATCACAAATTTTGGAGACTGTCTCTAAAGAATAAGATTTTAACAATTTCCCTGGTTGTTTAAGGACATTTTTTTCATAAATTTGTATCAAAACCGTGTGTCATTGCCGTTTTTAAGATGACACCCTTCAGAGAAGGCAAAGGGATTACTCAGAGGCAGGTCCTGACCAGCATAGCTCTGTGTAAGCAGGCAAAGGGGATGGAGGGAGAGTCATTTGGCTGCTTTTTGGATGGGAAATCATCATCTAGGTAGTCTTAGGAACAAAGATCCTAAGCACAACTTGCAGCCCTCTGACCCCAGGCTATGACTTGCCTTTCTCAGAGCCCAACAGGCCTCAGTGTGGGCAGTGCTGAGCAAAGATCCTGCAAGAGAACGTGAGCTCTTCTGGAAGTCCTGTCTGACACAACAGTCAGGCAGCATTCAAGCACAGCATTAGGGCACTGCACTATTTTAGGGACTAGGTCTTAGATGTAATGTAACATGTACAGCCCAAACTAGAATAATCGCCAAGGACTCCGTAGCTGCTCTTGGGAAAAGGACTGTTCCCAGTGATTTGATGATAGGCAAATAGCTACTGTTTATTCTTCCAGAGCTTAGTCACTTTGGAAGTTTAAGCAAGAAGTAATCATTCTTCACTTTCCATCCTGATAAACCAGGTGATGTTGTTCTGAACAATTTATCAGCAGTGTCTTAGAGAATACCATTTCAATAGAGAGATAAAGCTTGCATGCATATAATTTCTTCGGTGACCATTTTGAATATGAAGTGCTATTTAAGTACATGATCTTATCTGTGCAGTTACTAACATATTGGCTTCTCAGGAGGCTTTGCTCAACATCATTCCAACTCTCCCAGCCTTACTTTCTCTGCTGTAGCCTGTCCCAAAGGGACATAGCAGAAGACTCACACTGCTTACCAACTATAAGCCATGTAAACAGATGAGTGCTTCATTTCCATGCACATATATTTGAAAAGAGCATGTAGGGCAAGCATACAAAAAAAATAAAAGGTTCATTTTTTTTCCTCATGAAGCGGGACTGAGTCTCCACAAAGTGGCTGTAGGATAGAAAAGCTCATCTCCTGGGAAACAGGCACAACATGAGCCTTGGACCTTAAAATGTGTTTAGTCTGGGTTTTGATCTGAGATATCACAAGGGACCTCTTTTTCTGATGTTAGGTTGTTCCACTCCCTCAAGATCAGTACCCTCCTGGACTCTAGAAAATGGACTCACTCAAGATCATTAGTCCCTTCCCTGAACTGTGAGTCCTTGCTGTCACTACCCACATACCCTGATGCCTCCAAACCCAAGTTAGTCTGTCATGCTGACCAGCTTCTCTTCACGAAATATTCTAACAGATACATAACTCTCCACCTCAGTAGCTTGGCTTTAAGTCTGTATCTGATTTTAGAAGAACCACCTGTGTGTTGTACAGAAAAGTTGCTGTTCTCTCTTACAGTCGGGTATCCAGGGGTGTGGGGGGGGAGACCTTGAAGTCTTCAAGTAAGTGATATCTTTCACCCACATCTTCAGCCTTCAAAAAACTCAGTTCAAGGGAGAACTACAGTCAGCGTGTGTGAAGAACTCTGCTTCTATAAAGGCCAGTCAAGTCCAACCAAAAGATCTCTTTTGACTTCAGTGGTGGCTGGATTAGGCCCTTAAACGGCAGCAGTTCAAGGCAGTGGGCACCAACAGAACAAACTAAGATGTTGTTATTGTTGAAGTTGTAAGCAGAATTTTGATGATTTGGAGGAGGACTACTGTTGACAGTTTAGTTATACTGTAATAACCACCAAAAAGACATTTACCTAAATTTCCTGCACGCTGATACTGAACAGAATAGCCTTTAGATCATGGCCCTATTTCCTATAAGCATATATAGATATGTATAGAAATCATGATTCAGTGACTGTTTACATCAAACTGCCTAGGTAAGTACCGACTTTTCAGAAAGATCCAATGAAAAACAAAGCCAAATGTGAAATATTTGGGAAATATGGGTATTTAGAAATTAGATTACAACGTCCATGTCAGACATATCTAGAGTTGGCAAGGAGTCAGGTAAATTGCAACATCAATTCTACCAAGCAACCTCTCCTCTCCAAACTTGTTTTGATGTTCTAGTGAAATATTTCAGATTGTAGATCAAACACAAATATTTTTTTGGCAGAAATGTTTTTATGAAGAATTTCAGGAGTCAAGCATTTGGGGTTTGGCTTCTGTAGACCAGTAAGCAGGTTTTCAAAATAATAACCACCAGTGCTATAGAGCAGAGTAGCAGATGTAGCTCTGCCATTGGATTCCTCTCCTGATCAGCTCCAGGGTCTGTGCAAGAGGGAGCACTGTGCCTGGTATGGGAGATTGCAGAAGAACACATACTTGCCTTGACAGTCTCTTACAATTTGTTAAATTTTCTCCCTTTCCTAGCACTTCCAGAAAGACTGAATTAGTGTTTAAACTACATATATATATTCTCACAACTGCAGGTTCCTGGTGCCCGTGCATGCTTTCAAGCATCCACTTCAGCACAGCAATCTTCTACAGCTATAGCTCAGAAAGACTTATTTTACACTAGACAAAAAGCTAGACTGTGGCAGCTTTGCAGCTTCTTCAGTAGGAAAAGGAGTTGCTGTCTTCCCAAAGACATCCTCCCGGTTCTTCCAAGACAGTCTTTCTGCAAGAAGAACTTTCTTCCATGGATACTACAGAAAGAAAAATACTAAAAATGCAGAACTTTGACACAAACCTTCAAAAGATAACACTGTTTCATAGGACAGACACTATTCTTCTCCAAGACTGCATGCACAGCTTCGCTTTCTCCTCTCCCTGGAACAGCTAGTCCGGGAGCATCATGTACATTTGCCCTGACCTCCTCAAGGTGCACAACTCAGGAGATCACCTTGCTTTGACAGGCAGGTCTGACTGTCTGAGGCTGGATGCTTGCAATCATAGCAAGGCATCACAGAAGAAACCTTGCACCAATTTTGCCACTAAATGGCAACACCCTGTGACTGAACACCTTAAAGGCTGTGGGGAGGTCAAGGACTGGAATTTTACTATTGTGAGGGCTGGGAACCCACTAGGAGTGTTTAATTTCCATGAGGTTAACATTTTCGATGCAGAAGATCCTGAACTGGCCAAAAGTTAACAGAGAAATTGATTGTTCAAGGTACAGGGATAGAATGGTAGAAATGGGGCCTGGAAAAAGCAAGTGTTTGCTCTGTTTAGAAGACAGGATGCTGCCCTGGGGTGTTACTACAGTGCCTCATGCACTCAGGTGTAGTAATTCCAGAGTACATCAGCAGTATCCCACAGGGATCTCCTGACTCTTGAGAGTGTACGTTGCAGTATGACAGCCTACTCATGGATTTCTCCGCAGGGTGTCCTAGGCCCTGCTATGGAAAACTGAGGACTTATAAAGGAGAAGAGAAATAATTACACTTTTTCAGTTCTACACTGTTGCAGATAGATCATTTGCAGAGCTTTTCTCACAGATGAGTTAACTACCTCATGCAGTACATCTCCTGTCACTCACTCTGAAAAACAGGCAGAAGAAACAGAAGATAACAGACTGTCTGTGAAAGGGTATGAAACACCAGGGTCAAGAATAAGAGAGGGAGGGCTGAAGAGCAGGGATTCACAGCT